CATTCACTGTCTGTCTAGATTGACTATAGCGTGGAGATCCTGCACTGTTATCATTCTTATTTGTGAAATTAACTGTGCGTCCTTGTTCCTCTAACTGTCTGTTGCTTGGAGAATCTGACTCGCTCCTTTCAGATATGTGATAGTGTATGTTTTCCTGGGAACTTTCATCCCCTTTTCCTAAAATGTTATCTGGTTCTCGTATATCTGTCCTGTGTCTAGGGGTTGACCTATCCCCTATAACCTCAACGTAATCTGCTGAACTATTGTGTTTATCCCCCTGGGGAAACCGTTCCCTGTTTTCCCAAGTATTTCCTGACATGTTCTGATGTCCAATCTCCTGGGACAAAACGTGCCTTATTTCTTTATCATTATCATGTACCAAATTTTCTAATTTAGTAAACTTATTCTGCAGACTATGTATTTCCCTGCTGACACCATACACAGCATCATACAGCTCTTGTTTCATTTGCCTGTTTTCCTGTCTGATAATATCAAACTGTTCCCCCATTCTATTAAGTAATACATCCATGCTGAATGTGTTATTCTGTATATTTTCAGACTTTCTATGGGATTGTCCCGGAGCTTCCTCATCGGAAAACCCCTCCATGGTTGTGTCATTCTCCGTACCAGTACCCGAATGAGCCTTCCCATTTGGAAATGTGACTTCAGATTCGTCTCCAGAATCCATAATTTACAATTTTACTCTATTATAGATTTTGTAGAATTCTTATTTTGTGTTTGTTAATTTTACAAACAGAAAATTCGAATTTTATCAGAAGCTCTCCCTTACTTTTGGTCCACTAGACACTGGGAATAATTATTTGTTTGGAAACTTAATCCAAAACCCTGCTCGTGACGCCAATGTAACGTTTCTGCTACCCAGCTAATCCTGTGGGTGAGATCAGTTATCATGAAATTTATAAGGTTCGTTCCCAGCCTAGCACTCGTGACCAAAAGTAAAACCAGCAACAATCATGATAAAATTCAACATTTTATTTACAATTCACAAAATAAACATCAATATA